CTCTAGTATTGGAAGAAAACTAGAATGCTTTGGGATAGTTTTGAAGCTAAATAAACTAGGGTATTTATAGTTGAAGCTTAAGGACTAATCTTATAAATACCCTAAATTGCAATGACTAAATTTTCCATTTACCCATTACATAAATTCAACAATTTGGTTACCTAAATTTGACTACATTAGCCGCCCAAAGCCATTTTTCCAGCCGCCTCATTATTAGCCGCCCATATGCTAAATGCATATTTGACTTTTCAACATTTATAATCTCTAAGAACAAATAAATATTCTTTAAACCACTGAGGTAAATTGATTCGTGTAACTTTCCAACCTAATTTTGATACACTATATATGACTTCACAGATATTTTTATACTTTCAAGCAAATGGGAAACTTTTGTCAACTTGTCTGCGTGCGTAAGTAAAACAAGTCATTTAGAAGAATATTAATAGTTGTTTTTGTATGTTGGATCGAATAGTAAAGTGTGAGGAGGTTTAATATATAGGATGAAGGAAATGATTTGGGTCTCCTCCCCTCTTCGAAGAGAAATGATTATTTATATTTATTTTATCCTACGTTACATGTGATCGAACAAAGTATGAGGAGATCGCTTTATTCAAGTTATAATATACCTATTTCATTACTCTCCTATTTGTTTGATAATGCGATAACTATTTTTCCTTATATTATTATATTTGTCATCTATCAGATCGAAGGATTGTTGTTGAAACATATTATGTTTGATAGAACTTATCATTATGAATTATTACCTCTAATGTATAATGGAGGGTTTTTTTTAGTAAGGTTGTAAGTTTGAATCTTATAAATAAAAAGTTATGTTTATTTAAAAGTTTAATCTAACTAGAATCTAGATCAAATTGATAAACATAAGAAGAAAACATTATCAACAATTAGTTGGTTTAGTGAGATGAGACATTAGATCTCTGAAATAAGATCAGAGATTTGAATCCTGATGTTTGCGAATAGAATAAACTGGGTGGGAAGATCGTTCTTGTCTCTGCAGTGCCTAATTTAAATTATTCGATTAGTAAATCGGAGCGTTTTAATAAGCGGCGTCTGGAAACTGAAAAGCAGGCTAATCGAATGAATGTGGGTGTTGGTGTCGATCTCCAACTACTCGGACCCCCCCTCTTCACAACTGCCCATATTTATACGTAAAATATATAATATTCATCTTTGTTAACGTTCATTATTCGATTTTTCATCAAGTTTTTCCCTTTTTTAAAATGAAAAACTATTGGATTTCTCATTGTTTTCTTGGTCTCAACCACAGTTTTTTCATGCTACATAAGGCCAACGAACAGCTTCAACAATATCATTTCCCATTGCCAATTGCCATTAAAACATTTAACCTCTTCCTTTGCTAATTTTCTTCCTATAATCATGGGAGCTCACCGTTGTTTTCCTGTTATTTCGAAATGTAGCAGCGAATGAAAGTCGAATCAGACGGTGGCTGCGGATTTGGACGGAACCCTCCTCGTGTCACGAAGTGCTTTCCCTTATTTCATGCTTGTTGCTCTTGAAGCTGGCAGCCTTGTTAGAGCACTCGTTCTCTTAGCCTCCGTCCCATTCGTGTATTTTACGTACTCGTTCAACTCCAAATCCATAGCCATTAACACCTTCATTTTCATCTCCTTTGTCGGGTTAAAAATACGAGACATCGAGCTCGTTTCGAGGTCCGTGTTGCCGAAGTTTTACGCCGACGATGTCCATCCCGAGAACTGGAGAATTTTCAGGTCCTTTGGGAAAAGATACATCATTTCCTCGAGTCCTGGAATCATGGTGGAACCATTTGTGAAAACATATTTAGGCGCTGACAAGGTTATTGGCACAGAGCTGAGGGTGTCGAAATCAGGCAGAGCGACCGGTTTCACCATTAAACCAGGAGTTGTTGTTGGTGAACACAAACGGGCTGCCATATTGAAGGAATTTGGCAGAGATTTGCCAGATTTAGGCCTGGGAGACACAGAAACTGACCATGGATTCATGTCATTATGCAAGGTTCGGTCTCATTAACTAAACCCTAGCTCACTCCTTTTTTTACTGTCATAATTGAAACATGAGATTAACTTTGGCCTTGCAATAGGGTTGGTGAGAGTATTTATGATCCATAATGTTTTGTTTGATATGTCCCCCTTATGTCTTTCCCCACCCTTATAGAGCTGCTGGCTTTTTTTAGTTTACAAAATTTAAATTTCTATGGTCCACATGGTTCCCTTGCTCATGCCTTCTTAACTTTGTTACTAATTTTCCACATCATGCAATTTCATAATTTTCAGCCCATTTTTTATTAGACTTGTTACACACACGGAGGTCATCTCCGAAAATTACTAGCTCTACGTCAGCTGAGATCTTTGAATAGATAAAATCTCTGACAGATTCACTGCTCTACTAGAACGAAATCCAAAATATGATAATCATATCTATTTAGTTTGCTCACCTACGAGTGATGATAATTTCCCAATACATGACATCATCAGCTAGGATTATTATAAATACCTCTCAACCACAATTGAGTGAGGGATCCCCCCACTTCTCCTTCTTTCACTCTCATCGTCCCCTTATTCATTCTCTCCTACAGAAGAATACCAACTAACGGTTGTTACCTCACCAATTACGACTCTCTATCCATACCAGAAGAAATAAACCGTTAATAATCAACAAGATAAATTTATTCTAATCAACAAGCTCAACTTTGCCCTGCCCTACCCGCTTTTCTATTTCAGTTCTAGTTTTGACCATTGGTTCCACCAGCACTATCCTTGTGATGTTCAAACATGATAATTTATCTTTTGTTTGTGTGTGTGTGCAGGAAGGATTCATGGTGCCAAGAACCAAATGGGAGCCATTGCCGAGAACCAAGCTTCTAAGCCCTGTCATATTTCATGAAGGGCGGTTGGTCCAAAGACCAACCCCCTTGGCTGCCCTCTTGACCTTCCTATGGTTACCCATTGGCTTTATTCTGTCCTTACTAAGGGTCTATCTTAATATCCCTTTGCCTGAGAGAATCGCTAGATACAATTACATGATCTTAGGAATCAAATTGATTGTTAAGGGTAACGGGTAACCATCCACCAGCACCTAAGAAAGGCCAAAGTGATGTCCTCTTTGTTTGTAACCACAGAACGGTTCTAGACCAGGTCGTGACGGCGGTCGCCTTAGGCCAAAATATCAGTTGCGTTACTTATAGTATTAGCAAGTTCACGGAGATTATTTCTCCGATTAGAGCTGTCGCTTTATCAAGGGAACGAGAGAAAGATGCAGCTAACATCAAGCGCCTTATACAGGAAGGCGACTAGGTCATATGTCCCGAAGGGACTACTTGCCGAGAACCATTTTCTGCTGAGATTCAGCGCATTGTTTGCCGAACTCACCGATCGAATCGTGCCGGTCGCAATCAATGCGAAACAAACTGTTTTTAACGGAACGACGGTCCGGGGACACAAATTGTTGGATCCTTACTTCGTATTCATGAACCTAATGCCGACTTACGAGATCACATTCTTGAACCAGCTGTCTGCAGAGCTGACTTGCAACGGAGGAAAGCCTGCAATTGAGGTTGCAAACTACATTCAAAGGGTGCTGGCCGGGGCATTGGTGTTCGAGTGCACTAACTTGACAAGGAAGGACAAGTATGCTATGCTTGCGGGAACAGATGGTCGTGTTCCATTGAAGAAAGAAAAAAGAAGAAAAGCAAAAGGCATAGGATAAAAAAAAACACAAGGATCAGAGTTCAGAGCCAAATTAATTTATAGTATTATTTTGTCTATTTGTTTATATTAAAACTTTGTCTTAACAAATAAAAATTGATTGTGGTAATAATTAAGAAAAATATTTTTTTGGTTTTCTTTTCAATGGAAAATTTACACTCTAAGGGGCTGTTTGTTTGCTTCTTAATGGAATCATTCAGCGCTGAATGCTGAATCGTTCAGCATTCAGCGCGTTTGTTTCGCACCTCTGAATGATTCAGTACTGACTGATTCAGCAAAATAGTGCTGAATGATTCAGCACAGAAGTATATTTTGAATCATTCAGAGCCAGTTATCAAACAACATATCACATTCAGAGCCAAATCATTCAGAGTCTCTGAATCATTCAGCGCTTAATCATTCTGAAGTAAACAAACAGCCTCTAAATCATTTTTCAAATCAAAATTCCCTTTTGCAACCTTAAATGATTCCAAAATATACTTAAATCAAGCCCACGTTTAATTTAACGATTTGAACACACGAAATAAAATAATTTTAAGGCTCGGATTAATACTCGAATGTTATACTAAAAAATCATGTTCAATCAGTTGGTCTAGTGCGATGAGGCACTAGATCTCTTAAGTAATGCCAGAGGTTGAATCTTAGCGTTTACGAATGGAGCAAGCTGGGTTGAGAGAATCATCCTTGCATCTATAATATCCGATCCAGATTAATCGATTAATAAAACGGATACTAATGGTTATAAAAAAAATCATGTTAGTTACATATTTGCATTAGGAATTCGATGGAAGCATGCTCAGCCTTGATGCGTTGGGTACATGTGCAGCTTGAGAGGGATTGGGATTGAAATATCTATTAAAAAAATTAGTGGTTCACAATGCGTAAATATCATATATATATATATATATATATATATATACACGTATCGGTTAAACTCAAATTCTCTTAGAATAACATTTTCTTTTATCATTGAATCTATTCAATGGGTTCGTAGTTACATATATTTTTTTGTATAAATATGATATATGTATAATTTAGTATATATTCAAAGATTCATCTCAATCATTTAACAATAAACATTTATACCTTGTATATGCGGTGCTCGAACTCGAAACTTAGATAGCAACAAATTTTTTAACTAATGAGTTCGATTGGTTTGTGTAGTAGCTTCAAATGTAAATTATTGAAAAAGGTGTAATTAATTATAAAAGGACTAATTTTAATAAGTTTCTATAATAGTGGGACCTGTAAGGCATTTTAACCGTAAAGATTCAATGCTTGTTTGGTTTCCTGTGCGGTAATAAATACTCACAGTAGAGACTAGAAAGAGAGGCGAGGAAGCCAAAGCAAATCAAGCAGAAAAAGCTTACACTTTCGCAGAGGAAAAACAAAGAAGAAAAAAAGGGTAAATAGAAATGGATGTGATCAAAACCCAGCAAATATCATCGCGGTCAATCGAGAAGGTGATAGTTCATCCTTTGGTTCTTCTTAGCATCGTCGACAACTACAATCGCGTCGCTAAAGACACCCGCAAGCGCGTCGTCGGAGTCCTTCTTGGCACCTCATTCAAAGGCACCGTTGACGTCACCAACAGCTACGCAGGTTCTCCCCCCTTCTTTTCTTTATGTTTGTTCCTTCGAATTTCGTTCTAGATCTGATTTGTTTTGATTTCTGATTACATAATGCCGTTATTTTGTTGTTGTTGAAATCTTATATTCATACCTTGCGAGATCGCTGGTTGCTGAGAGTAAATTTTGGGTTTTAGGGTTTTTTCATTTAAAATGTTTAATTTGAATTGAAGGCAATTTGTTAGATTCCTTGACCTAAATTTCCATTTATAGTTTCATTTTTTAAACGGATGTGGAAATGTATGTAATTGAAGGCGCTTTCATTAGAGAAGCATTTGATTAAGCTCTCTGGCCAACCTCATGCACTGATGCTTTAGTTTCTTAAGATTGAGCTTGTATTAAGGTTTTTTCACCATTATTATTATTGTTATCAGTGCCTTTTGAGGAAGACGAGAAGGACCCGAGCATATGGTTCCTTGACCACAACTACCATGAATCAATGTTTTCGATGTTTAAGAGGATTAATGGTAACTCTTTTCTCAACTCAGAGTAAATAATGGTGCCAATTTTAATTTGTTATTTCTCTCCTTTCTTGTTTTGTCTGGGAAGGGGAGGGGGAAGTGTCATCCTTCATTACATGATATGTGAACCTCTGATATTTGTTGCAGCGAAGGAGCATGTTGTTGGTTGGTATAGTACAGGCCCAAAATTGCGGGAGAATGATCTAGACATTCACAGATTATTCCACAAGTAAGACTATTAGTTTTCGCTTATTATTCTGTTCTTTATTTTATTTTTTACTTCATTCGATTAATCAAGTTCTTTTGGTGTTCAGCTATGTCCCAAATCCTGTCTTGGTGATTATTGATGTCCAACCTAAGGAGTTGGGGATACCCACTAAGGCGTACTATGATGTTGAGGAGGTTAAGGAGGTACGAACAATCTGAGTGCATCTTTTTCTTTTTATCTTGTGGAACCAAGGGGCTTACCTGTTAAGGCAGACATGCACCCCTTTGGATGTTGAGAATAACTGCAACTAAATATAATTTTTTAAAGAAGCTGTCACCTTTGGTCGTACATGGGGAGCATTTTTACTAATATGCCAGTATTGTTGCAGAATGCTACTCAAAAGAGCCAAAAGGTTTTTGTTCACGTTCCTTCTGAAATTGCTGCTCACGAAGTTGAGGAGATTGGTATGCCATTTGATGAAATTTAGTGTTATCTTTTCAGGATATTATCCTTGTGGTTAAGATGCTAATAGATTGGATTAGTTAACCATTAATTTGGTTGCTTATTACTCCTTTTTCACTCATAAACAGGAGTGGAACACTTGCTTAGGGATGTAAAGGATACAACCATCAGTACACTAGCAAATGAGGTTTCTTTCTTTCTTTCTTAGTTTTATTTTACTGTCAAATCTAATTGCATTCATAATAAAAGCTCTTAGTGTTGAAGCTTTCTTTGAACTATGAGAAAGAGAGTGTACATAGACCTTGGTCTTTTCTACAGGTCACCGGAAAACTCACAGCTTTGAAGGGTTTGGATGCAAGGTTACGAGAGATATGTGCTTACCTTGATCTTGTTATTGATGAGAAGCTTCCATTGAATCATGAAATACTTTACCATTTACAGGTAAACTAAGTTTTTTTTTATAGAAAGGTAAACTAAGTTTACCATTTACAGGTAAACTAAGTTGTGAAAGTTAACATTGAAGCTTAAGACATTTTGCAATTGTGAACTTTAAGTTTTAATATCCTGGATAAGCTAAATGTCCCTTTGACGTTACTTACCCGATTAAAACATATTCTGAATATGCGGTAGAGTACATAATTGTGAATGTGTTCTGGTTAATGTCCATCTTACATGTGGTCTACCGTGTTAAACCTGCAGGATGTGTTTAACTTACTGCCAAACCTAAACATAAATGAATTAATCAAGGCTTTTGCAGGTAAAAATGCAAAATTAACTTCCCGCTGAAAATGCTCACCTTTGCAGATTAGATGCGGATATTTATTAAGTTTTGAAGTTCTGATTCACATTCTCTGTTTATTATGCAGTAAAAACAAATGATATGATGTTGGTTATATATCTGTCATCTCTCATTCGAAGTGTAATTGCACTCCATAACTTAATCAATAACAAGGTGAAAAACCAACTCCTAATTCCCCGTTATACCATGATCGAGCTCGTGGATGGTTTTTTTGACTGACATTTTGGTTTTCAGATGCGAAACGAGGAACATGAGAAAGTCGAGGACGCAAAGCCAGCAACTGTCCAAGCTGCCAGTTGAAGCCAAATGTCATCTCAGATCCAGCCATGACAAAAGCTCGAGCATTTCATGGATTCCACATTCCTGTGATTTTGTATCCTTCATAGAGATCACCAGGCTCCAAACATGATTTAAAATCTTTATTTTTTTCATACAACTACAGACTGAAGTAATTAAGTGCATCTCCATTAGCGTTATACATTGTATTGAATCGATCATTTGAGTTTTCCCCTAGATTTAAAACATCACTGTTTTCATTTTCTTTGTTATATTGGTAAAAACTGAAAGCTCCTAAATGGCTGGCATTCTACATTTACATTTCTTAATTTTTCTACATTTTCAAGTAGAAAATCCTATGATAAAAATTAAAGAACTTGCGAAGTATACCCTTTATAACCATCTTTGCCTTCTCTCCCAATTAAAGCTTCATGTGCTCTTATCAGCTTGTAAAAGAATAACAAAAGCGTTCATTCATGTAAGCTCATTCGCAACTGAATAAAAAAGTAATTACTGAAAAAATTATCAAATTAATTTTTGAAAATCAAATTTTATTCTTTAATTTATTATCAGCAGAGGGTTAGATTTGAAGATTCTTATAGATGTTTGTCCTCCAATGTTCTACGGAACAAATCCAGTTTTTCCTTTTCAAGATTCACACCCTAAAATTTAAAATAGATATATGTTATGGATTTGGGCTTTTGTTTAGTATTTGCATGTATTTTTCTACACTGCTATGCAAATTGAATCCCTTTTGCTTTCCTTCATATTTACATATATGGATAACAATTCTAGCAAGAACAAGCAGAAACCGAGTTTGATCGCAACAAAGATGAAGAAGAATTCAAGAACTCAATGCAATCTTCTATAGCCTCGGCGCGATGGGAGTCGATAGATTCCACCAGTGATCGTGACCTATGTAGATTCGAAGAAGAAACCTTATACGAAGAGCTCCTTCGTATGATGGACTCGAAACGAAAAGCACTCGCAACTTTAGCTCCGACACGCCTCAATAGTCCTTTTGCTGGTAAAAATCTCGAGCTCTTGACGAGCCCAAACATGAAAATCCCAACAACCACCCTTTTTCTAGGACCCGATCTTGTTCTGCCATTGCCACTGCCCCCTTGTTTCAGTAACATTGTTGGACTTCCGTCGATATCGAAACTCACCTGCTTGTTCGTTCTTCTCGGCATTCAGAAGATCGGGAAAGAAACAGAAGAAATTTTGGAGGAATAAGAGAAGAGCTCTGATATATGAACAAGGAAGAAGGGGCAGTTGGTGAGGTTTTATGAGGGTATTTATTGATGAATATTGTGAACAGTCAAAAAAACTGAAAAGGTAAAAGAAAATGTTGACTGTAGAACATTCTCACTAAAACATAATTTCAAAATTACTCTCGAGGTTTGTTGGAACGATGATTTTGATTTCTATTTTTTAAAAATAATTTAATCTTCAATATTTTATTTTTTTTATTAAAATGGTCCTTATTATATAAAAACTATTAATTAATAGTCAACACATGTTACTGACATGGTCAAGTCAATAATATATATCGATCATTAGTCAATTAATTATTTTCATCCAACATATAACATTTTAATCAAAAACCTAAATGTTATGGACTAAAATACTTATAAAAGAAATAGAAACTAAAGTGAGTAACTCCAGTTTTCGACAGAGGATTAGTGATACGTGCATGAGCCATGCACTTGCCATGTTTGAATGTATAAATTAAGATTGGCTGTTTATCTTCAATTCTTCACACTAATTGTACCCAAAACTCACCATCAAATACAAAATCATACGCCAGTGTTTGTCTATAATTAGGGTTCAAATACAAAGAACGCTAGGTGCATAGAAGAAATTGAAGCTAGGTAATATGAAAAGAAGTTTTCTTTTTTGCAGGGTTTGGTCAAAAGAATAAAGAAAAGAGTAGCAGCAACTAACAAGGAAAACACAATTAAAGGAGAAAAGCACTCGAAATCAGCGTTGCTTTTGCGGTGTTGTCATGACCTACTTTTGCTTTTGTTGGCCATTTGATCTTGAATCTGTTCCGGAAACAGGATTAGTCCAGAGGTTGCTTGATCTTATTGAGAAGTACTTGATGAAGTTTTTGCTCTTAATGAATTTATATCTCAAGTTTTGGATAATCTGAGAGTAATTTGATGAATTCATTAAATTTAAATTTGAGAGATTGAGCTTATTAAATGTTTTTAACAATTCCATAGTCATAATTCGGATAATTTATATTGAGATAGAGTTAATGAAATTACATATCTATTTAAGTGTGAAGAATTAACCAACTTTTATGAAAAATATTAAATCATTTTTCTAGAGTATTTACCGGTATCTCAAGGTATATTAACTAAACTGACATTCTATCGTGGAACTCATTTGGAGAAGAGATTAGTCATGTGTTATATGTTTACTCTCATTTTAACAACTTTCATATTCATTCACTTGTTAAGGGATGAATTTCTCATTTTGCTATGTATTAGTTACTGATAAGTCTACTAATATTTAAACTGTTAAATCAATAATGAGACGAGACATGACGATGCTCGTTACACCAAAACGATATCATTTTAATGTAACTATTTTGATACCTAAAAGACTTAAAACGACATCATTTTATGGGATTATTTTTCTAAGAATCATCTTGAAACCCCACGAAATGCTTTCACTAAAGGTACAATGAGTGCTGTTTGTCGATTTCGCGGTATTGAAGAGACTGAGAAAGTTTAATTTGAAATATGGTCCAAGAGGATGACATGTGATAAATGTTGTGGAGGGGATGGTTTAAAGTGTTTTGTGGTACTGCATTATTGTAATGGTACTGAGTGGTGCTTCAGCATTTGAGGGGGGTATGGTGGTGAGTGAAGACACCTTAGATATGTTTTGTGTCATTGTGTGGTGTTTAAAATTTGGTGTCCAAACAGTAGCTATACTTCGTACTTGCAGATCATGTGGTTCACATCTTTTTTACTTGTGAAATTAGGGTCTGTTTGTTTGCCGTAAAATGAATTACTGAATTGGTTTTTCTTGAAATTCAGTGTTTGTTTCAAGTAATTCGTTTTTCGAAAAATGTTTTCTCGTGTTTATTTCACGTAATTCGTTTTTCAGAAAATGGTTTCCAGTGTTTGGTTGAATGAAAACTGATTGATCAACGTAAAACATTTTCTTGATCAACAGAATTTCCTTTTTGTTTTCTGCCGAACTTTTCACTTCAAAGAATAAATACTCAGAATAATTTTATTTTATGAATTTAATATTAATAAAATATTTTAATATCATTTTAATCAAAATATTAATTATTACAATATTTAAAATATATTTATTAATAATTATAATAATATAATATTATAATTTTAATATTATAATAAAATAATCAATTATATTATAATAATATAATATAAGATATTATAATTTTATTTTAATAATATATAATAAATTATTTAATATTTAATAATGAATAATATTATTTAATATTAATATAATAATCTAATAATATTTTAATAAAGATATTTAAAATATACTAATTAATATTTTTAAAATATAATATAACACTATTACATTAATAAATAATTAATATAATTTATAATATTTTTATTTCAATAAAATATATCAATATTAATATTTTTATTAATAAAATTTTAAAAATAATATTTAATAATAAATAAATTATTTTAATATTTTAAAAAATTATAATATTGCGTTTTATGATAAATAATATTATTTATTGTATTTAATATTTATAATAAATAATTTTTAAAAAATTAATCAACTAATGGAAAAAAAGGATTTAAACATCATAAAATATTTTCCAAAAAAATATAATTCATTTTACGGAAAACATTTTTCAAAAAAAATTTCTAAAAATATAATTCATTTTTCAAAATTTAAATTCTAGTAATTCATTTTCCTAAATTCAATTTTTAAAAAATTAATTACAACCAAAGAGGATTGTGTATTACGAAAAGGGACAGTAACCATGTTGATCACATGTCCCCAATCAAATACCGAAAAATGGGTCCATTTTACATTTTTATTATTATAAATTAAAAAATAGATTGAAGATTTGAACGTAGCTTAAGCACGTCGTACTATATATATATATATATATATATATATATATATATAATCCTATTACACAATATATATTTTTTTTTAAATTTATATATATTTAAAACCGTTAGATGAATAAAAGTAGATAATAGAAATTAACAATAGGAAATGACAAAATATAAACAATAAGTCAGTCTTAGCCATCTATTTTCACTCATTTAAAGGTCTTAAATTCTTTTGATTAATCTAGAATAAGTACGAGATAGTATCAAAAATAACTCTTAATCATTTAATACTAAACGCTTATATTCTTGATACTCAAATTCAAAACTTTAAAAAATATCAATAGTTTCGTGCTTCACTAACAATTTGAGCGAGGGGAAAAAACCTTTGAATTTGAATAATACACTTGCAAATACCATTTCTATTCTAACAATAAGCACATGCTCAATGAGCTTCCCTCTTATATTCCTTTCAGTCTCAGCTTTGATAGAATATATTCCATAAGCCCTTAAAAATTCCTTTACCGAATCTTCTATTCCATTTTTAATTCATCAAAAAGAAGTCTACCCTTTTGATTGTTCAACGTTCCAACCCGACCCCTCCCGCTGTAATTTATAAACAACCGGTACATGTTATTCTCTCTCTATAAAGCCTTCTCTCTCTCCTCCACTCTTTGCCTACCTTTCATGCAATTACCATTCTTCTGCTTTTACATTATGCACTCACATTTCTGTCAAAACTTTGCCTTTTTCTTCTTTTTCATCGATACCCTTTGGCCTGATTTGTAAAAGAAGTCGGTTTCCAGAGTCTGAGAGATTGAAGTTTAGCTGTTGTTGTTTAGAGCGTGTGACAATGACTACCACAGAGGTGAGAGGAGACGATATAGAGGCTCCTTTGATTGATCCTGAGAATGGTTCCAGGCCTCGTCGTATTGCTCTTTTCATTGAGCCTTCTCCTTTCTCGTGAGTTCTCTCCCCCATTGCTTGAAGACACCAATTCCTTTCCGTATTTAATTTGCTGCTAATGGTTTTGTTAGTGATTGAGTGGTACACTCCTTCTGTTCTCCTCTTACCATGTCAAAACGTGGCAGTCACAGATTTCATTTTCTTTCTCCATTCATTTTGCAGATATGTGTCTGGGTATAAAAACAGATTCCAGAATTTTATAAGATATTTAAGGGAAATGGGAGATGAGGTATGCTCATTATATTTCTGATGTTATGCTAACTAATTGGTCAGCTAAATTAGTTTATGGCAGTACCTTTAATCCCTACATTCCCACTGAAAATTAAGAAGATTGAGTTGATTTCAGTACCTTGTGATTTGATTGGAGTAATTTCTGATGGCAGTAGTAATGTTGTAGGAGCTTCATTCTCAGTTTACTATTTAGTTTGAAGAAATGTTGTGAAATGATGAACTAAAAGTAATGGTATTGGTCGTAATAGGTAATGGTTGTAACGACACACGAAGGGGTTCCGTCGGAGTTCTATGGGGCGCAGTTGATTGGATCAAGAAGGTTAGTTACTGTAATCAACCAGATTCAAGTTATAGTTTGCAGAAATCTAGTTAGTTTCGTTGTTCTATAATCGGGAATTAATGATTTAAAGCCTTTTCTTTTGTATAATTTTTCTTCCTCCTCCTCATTGCAGCTTCCCCTGTCCTTGGTATCAGAATGTGCCCCTTTCCTTGGCACTTAGTCCAAGAATAATTTCAGCAGTTTCACAGTTTAAGCCTGATATAATACATGCCTCTTCACCTGGGATTATGGTACATTTCTAATTGTTGCTATGTGAGCTATTGAGAGATGATTCCAATTTTGTCTCGAGATCGAAATGTTATTGAGTGGTAGGAGACACAATCCTGATTCATACTAACTGCATTTCAGGTTTTCGGTGCTCTTGCTATCGCGAAACTACTATCGGTTCCCATCGTGATGTCTTACCACACACATGTACCAGTGTGAGTTTGATTCTACTTTGTTTCACCTGTTGAATCCTTCATGCTCACTCTAACTATTTGCTACTTCTCTTTCATTCTACAGGTATATCCCAAGGTACACATTTAGTTGGTTGGTGAAACCTATGTGGTGGGTATTAAGTACGTAAGACGTTTTCTTTTCCCTCCTTTTTAGTCAATTTTCATCCCAAAGTTTGAGCCATTGACAGTTTTTCCTGCACTTTCCTATTAGAATTTCTTCATAGAGCAGCCGATCTCACACTGGTTCCGTCAGCTGCAATTGCTAGAGATCTCCAAGCAGAAAAGGTAACTGCAGGTAAATGTATTCATTATCATCTTGTGCTTTATTTGTTCTTGTATGTCCTACACTGACCCTGCTTCTCATTTGTCAATACTTCCAGCTAATAGGATTCGTCTATGGAACAAGGGTGTCGATTCACAAAGCTTCCACCCTCGGTATCGCTCTCACGAAATGCGATTAAGATTGAGGTCTGCTTGATCTTTATATTCTTCCTCTCTTCTCAGTTGCAGTGTAGTAATGTTTCTCATAATGCTTTATACAGCAACGGTGAACCGGAGAAACCATTGATAATCCATGTTGGACGTTTCGGAGTCGAGAAGAGCTTAGATTTCCTCAAAAGGTACCATTTATGAATTGCATGAAACATTGTTGCTGATATCTTCCTTTATAATCATTCGTGAATCTATGATTGTACAGTGTTATGGACAGGCTTCCAGGAGCAAGAATTGCTTTTATTGGGGATGGACCGTACAGGTAAATCTCAATGAATATGTGTATATTGTATTAAATGAATCAGGCAAAAATGTGATGCATTTCTTTGCAGGGGAGAGCTAGAGAAATTGTTCACAGGCATGCCTGCAGTTTTTACAGGGATGATACAAGGGGAAGAGCTCTCTCAGGCATATGCAAGTGGTGATGTGTTTGTGATGCCTTCGGAATCGGAGACGCTCGGACTGGTCGTTTTGGAGGCCATGTCTTCAGGAATCCCTGTGGTAGGTGCTCGTGCAGGAGGAATCCCGGATATAATTCCTGCAGACCAGGAGGGAAAATCTGGCTTTCTCTTCGCTCCCGGTGATATCGATGACTGCATGAGCAAACTGGTGCCCATGTTACACAAGGAGCTGAGAGAAGCCATTGGCCGAGCTGCACGTGAGGAAATGGAGAAGTACGATTGGAAAGCAGCCACGGAGACGATACGCAACGAGCAGTACAACGATGCCATTATGTTCTGGCGGAAGAAGCGAGCGGAGCTAACCGGACCTATGCAGTGGCTTGCCGGACGCCTTTTCCCGTCCCATGAAATCAAGTCGAGGTGATTTGGATGTATTATGTTAGGTTTGCTGGGTAGAATTTGAAGGAATTTAGCATGTTTACAGGGGATTGCAGAACTTGTTCAAGGCTTCAAAGAGGGCCTTGTATGTTGTATGTATGTTGTAGACTATGGAAATCTTGGAATAAAATAGAATGGTTGTATTGTATGAAACCTGAACTTTAAATATATAATATCAAAATTAGCATCAACCTTTTGTTTCTATCTTTTTAAAGTACTTTAATTTTTAATATTCTAATTTCTAATAAAACAGTTTCAATTATTTACGAAATATTTTTTTACAAGTGTTTAATTACTAACATAAACATGAGATGTTATCTCTTTAAATAATATAGCATAATTCCTGTCATCACCTTGGGTATCTTGTCATCACGTTAAGTGATATGATATGTGTCACATCAAAAATTTAATACATATAAAAATATCACGTCAATAACTTATATTGATAATTAGTCAATTAATAATTTACATCTAAAATGACTTTAAGAAAAGTGGTGTACCAAGAAGTGGATCAGCCCAAACTCAAAATTAGAGGTCTATTAAGTCCAACACCTTTGATTGTGCAAGACACCCTAAAGCAAAACCTTTTAGTCATAATTATAGGTAAGCAAAATTCAACTCAACTAAAAAAACTGAATTTTTTAATTTGACTCAATTTGAACTGGATCATAATATTTTAAAATTGATTTGACTCGAAAAAATTAAATTCTAGTCTAATTATAAAATAAAACTTAAATTATTCAAAAAAAAGTCAACAGAACCCTAATAGCTGTGTGTTTGTTCTGGAGTTTAGAAGCTGGCGTTCGACGATATTCAAGAGGATCATTTCTTTTTCCTGTAAGTTGCACAGGGAAAGAACTTTGGCTACTTTATTCTAATTTTCAATCAAATCCCCTCAGCTCCCTTAAGCACTTGGCCTCTGTTTGCGCATTTAGATTCACTTAAGATATGCAAATATAAGAAATTGTGATTAAGAGCGAACATTTGATCGAGTCGAGTCAAAAAATTGAATTATTTGAATTGACAGATCTTATTTATAACTCTAACTTTATTTTAAAAATATACAATTCGTCAAGTTGAGCTATTAGAATTTATGTTTAAATATAATTTTAAATATTCATAATGTTATGATACTATTTTATTCCAATTTAAACAGTTTTCTATAATTATATACAGTATGCATTATATATATATATATATATAGAGAGAGAGAGAGAGAGAGGTTCAAAAGATTCTTAACCATTTTACAATAAATGAAATAATAATTATCGTTTTAACCGCTTAAGTTGTTTAATATAAAGAGTAGAAAATTGTCGGAAGTTATGTGCTTCTACTAACTTTTAAAAAAGTTAGAAATTATGTTGGCAGAAACCATGGAATTTGTCACCCTAAACTATGCATGCATGGTGATAACAGAGTTGGAAACTTTAGGGTTTAATATAAATAGGGTTGTGGTTGGCTTTGCAGAAAAAGGTTTTGCGAAATTCAGAAATTCACCAGCTAAGCACTAACAGAAGATGCCAGTGGAACTTAAAGAATGGAATAAAGAAGGAGAATAAAAATGCAAAAGCATCTCTGTACCAAAGGTCATATACCCTTAAGCTTTCTGCCATTTTTTTTTATTCTTTTTTTCATATATATTTTTGCTTTCTGCCAAAGAGAAAAAGGAAAAGAGGAATAAAAATCCAGAACAATTAAACGATTGATATCTGAAGAGAAAAGGAAAAGAAACGTTCTTGGGAAGATAAGAATCCATTTGTTTTTGGATACAAGTCAATCCATGAGAGACGAATATGAACAACTCCAATTAGAAAAACAAGTGTTTTTCATCTTGCTCGCCAACCAAAATTTTCTTTCAAGTGGTGAGTTTGAAAGCCTGTAGCCAATGAGTTCTACGGCTGCTGCTAACCAGAAAGAAGAGTTCAAATTGAAGGACACGAAGCCGCAGCTAGGGGAACGATGGCCCCATGGCGGAATCCGCGGCGGAGGTGGTTGGATTAGCAGTGAAAGTGCAACAAGCACATATGACCTTGTTGAACAAATGTTTACCTTTACGTAAGGGTTGTTAAAGCCAAAGATCTGCCTACTAATCCGGTTACCGGAACCATCGATCCTTACGTCGAAGTGAAGCTGGGGAATTATAAAGGGAAAACACAGCATTTCGAGAAGAAACCGAACCCGGAATGGCACCAAGTGTTTGCATTCTCCAAGGACAAGATTCAGTCTTCGGTCCTAGAGGTGTTTATTAGAGACAGAGAGATGGTTGGTAGAGACGATTACATAGGGAGGGTGATCTTCGACATGAATGAAGTGCCTGCAAGGGTTCCACCTGATAGCCCTTTAGAACCGCAATGGTATCGGTTAGAAGACCGTCGAGGCGAGAGCAAGGTGAAAGGCGAGGTTATGCTTGCAGTCTGGATGGGAACACAAGCTGATGAAGCATTTCAGGAAACATGACATACAGATGCTAGCTCTGTTCAAGGAGAGGGTGTTTTCAATATCCGATTGAAGGTTTACGCCTCCCCGAAGCTATGGTACCTTAGAGTAAACGTTATTGAAGCTTAGGATCTTGAGCCACATGATAAAAGCCAATTACCACAGGCTTTCGTTAAGGCTCAAGTTGGAAATCAAATACTCAAAACCAAGTTATGTCCCGAGAAGAATATAAATCCCATGTGGAATGAAGATTTGATATTAGTAGCAGCCGAGCCTTTCGAGGAAAAACTGTATCTAACAGTTGAAAATAAGGTGTCTGATGCAAAAGATGAAGTTATAGGGAGGTTAATCTTGCCCCTTAACATCTTCGAGAGACGGTTGGATCATCGGGTTGTTCATTCGAAATGGTTCAATCTCGAAAAGTTCGGATTCGGTGCGCTGGAGGGTGACAAGAGGCATGAACTCAAATTTTCAACTAGGATTCACCTTAGAGTCTGCCTTGAAGGAGATTACCATGTGCTGGATGAATCAACCATGTATATAAGTGACCAAAGGCCAACTGCTAGGCAGCTTTGGAAGAACCCGATCGCAATCCTGGAAGTGGGCATCTTAAGTGCTCAAGGTCATCAACCGATGAAAACCAAAGACGGTAAAGGAACCACATATGCTTATTGTGTGGCAAAATACGGGCAGAAATGGGTGAGGACTCGAACTATAATCGAAAGCTTCAATCTTAAATGGAATGAGCAATATACTTGGGAGGTCTACGATCCTTGCACGGTTATCACATTGGGAGTTTTTGACAACTGCCACTTGGGTGGAAGTGAGAAACCAGCTTCAGGAAGTGGAGGTAAAAACGATTCTCGAATCGGGAAGGTAAGAATTCAACTATCAACACTCGAAACAGATTAGATTTATACGCACTCGTACCCTCTTCTCGTTCTACAACCATCCGGATTGAAGAAAATGGGGGAGCTTCAGCTAGCAGTTCGATTCACATGCCTCTCTCTTGCTAATATGATCTACCTCTATTGGCAGCCCTTGCTTCCAAAAATGCATTACTTGCATCCTTTCACTGTGAACCAGTTAGATAGCCTAAGATATCAGGATTGTTGCGGTGAGGCTCGGACAAGCTGAACCGCCACTTCGGAAAGAGGTCGTGGAGTATATGTTGGACGTGGATTCCCACATGTGGAGCATGAGAAGAAGCAAAGCTAATTTCTTCAAAATTGTGTCACTTTTTTCTGGTTTGATTGCCATAAGCAAGTGGCTTGGTGAGGTTTGCTACTGGAAGAACCCTGTCACTACAATTCTAGTACATTTTCTGTTTTTCATATTGATATGCTACCCTGAATTAATCCTCCCCACCATGTTCCTATACATGTTTCTCATCGGGATTTGGAATTACCGATACCGGGCGAGGCATCCTCCTCACATGGATACCAACCTTTCATGGGCCGAAGTAGTTAACCCCGACGAACTCAACGAAGAGTTCGATACTTTCCCAACATCGAAACCTCAGGATGTTGTGAGGATGAGATATGACAGGCTTAGAAGTGTGGCAGGAAGAATCCAGACAGTGGTGGGAGACATGCCAACTCAGGGTGAGAGATTTCTGGCTCTACTCAGTTGGAGAGACCCCAGGGCAACCAGCCTATTCGTTGTATTTTGCCTAGTTGCATCACTGACACTGTATGTGACACCATTTAAGATAATAGCTCTGGTTGCAGGCTTATTCTGGCTCCGCCATCCCAGATTCCCAAGCAATTTCTTCCGCAGATTGCCGTCTCTAGCTGATAGCATGCTGTGAAAAATAGTTGCAAGCAATGCATCACCTCCACTGATATATACTTTTTATTCCCTTTTGAATTTCTTTCATTGTCCTTCCAATAATCTTAAATCAAGTGATATGTTGTACTGGATTTGTTTGTCATGCATTTCGTCTCCTTATTCATTTTATTTACAAATTATGTCAGCTGCAGTACAAATCAAACACTTACATTACTTCCAACATCATATCCCAAAACATCTTTCAAATCTTACAAAATGATATTACTCCCAAGACCATACAAGTTTACTGTTTAAGGTTTAATGTTCATACACTTTTATATATATAATTAGAATGTTTTTCATGTCTCTTATAATATTTTTATCGATCATAATAAATATTCTTAACATATATCTTTAAATTTTTTTCATCTAAAATTTTTATCGTAAATTACTATATTCTTATTTTGTGATTTATTCAGTTCGTTTTCCATTAACTCGTCTGCTTGGCAAGAGAAAGATGTGAAAATTAATGATTGAAATAAAGGAGAATAAAAATGCAAAAGCATCTTTGTAGCAAAGCTCATATACCCTTAGGGTGCGTTTGGTTCACGGAATGTAAGATTACCGGTGGGAATAAAAGATTACCAGGGAATAGGATTACTGAGAATATTATATTACTGTGTTTGGTTGGTTTGGCAGGAATGTAAGATTACCGTGTTTGGTTGAAGGAATAAAAGATTAATGGAATGTATATTTTACCAAATTGTCCTTGTTCTATATTTTTAACAAGTAAAATTCTAAATATTTAAATAAAAATTATTTATATAAAAATTTTATCTGTTGATAATATATTATTTGAGTATTTAAATATATCATGTATTATTTTAATTTTAATTAATATTAAATTTTACATAATTTATGGTAAAAATATATTAATGTTTACATTGTGGTTGCGTTGGAGACGACTTTGTTGTCATGCTTGCCCTCCAAGGAGCTTCAAGCTATTGATCGTTCTCCCCACCCTTCTCATCAGAGTCAGTAGCTCTCACCCTCTCCTTAATTCCCAAAGCATTTCCATTTATATATATATATATATAGATGATCTGTCATGTTCCTTCTGTGATAGTCTTTTGATACTTGTTCTTATTCTGATGTTTGGTTCCATATTTTATCATTGTTCAGAATCAGATAGATGTACTTGAATGAATGCATTAACTTACTAACGTAGTACCCAGAAAGTTCAGATAAATTTAGTTAATATAAGCTTTTTGGATCAAATCCTTGTGTTCTAAAATGGTGTTTTTATTTGCAATTGCCATAGTTGATGTGGAGAGGCATGCTAGAGATTTCATGGAGGCTGCCAAGAAGTTTCAGTTATACTTCCTTGGCTTGCAACGTGAGGATCAACCAACCAAAGCTGAAATGCTCAGAAAAGTAAACCCAACAACTTTTATTGTAGATGATTGCGGTGTATGATTAAGCCACTCCAAAGAAGCTCAATTTAACTTGTTTCTTGTTCTAACAGGAGATTGCAACAGTGGAAGAAGAATTGAAAATGAAGTCCGAGATCATCAAGAATCAGGAGAGACTGATCCAAGGATGGAGAAAGGATTTGAGTGACCAACTGGTTAAACATAATACTGAATTGGAGAGAGTATAGCCGAGTAGAATTAAGCATTAATGATATGCTAATCTCTTGGATTATAGTTCGTTTGAGATTGATCCAACCTAGGGTCTAGCTTCACAACCAGTTGTGTTATTGTTTGATAGTGACAATTGCATTATATTTGCTGCTTGTGTAACTGAAAAAAAGTACAATTAATACAATCTCTTTATATACTAAATTTAGTCATTTGATTCATACTTACTTAACCTGATTAGTATCGCAACAAATGTTAAAACATAGAGAATTTAATAATAATTCATAGACAGAAACAAGGAAAAACAATTTTGACATATTAAAAGCGGAGCTTGGAAACTTGTTGCAGTCTCCATCAATGACAGAAACAAGAAACCAATTGCAAAAATACATATACCATCTCCTTGTCATAAAAGGGAAAGCCCTGCATTCGCCTAAGAGCATTGGTAGCGGAGCTAACATCCTCGAAAATAACCCAATCTTGACCTTTGTGTTTCAGCGTCTTCAATGCTAACACATCCAGTATCTTTCCGAATTGTGAGAACACAACGTGCAACGACTTCTTCAACTCTGCAATCATCACTCGAGAAAAAAAATGAAATCAAGGAAAAGAAAAGGATGTAAGCGTTTTTTAAGTTTGTCGTCGAGACCAGTTTGCACTTGATTTCCTGTCTGGGATGAACCATTTACCTTTGCCAAATCTTGGACCGTCTCAAGGACGGTGGGGCCGGCAGCCATCCCAAGACTAGCAGGAGCAGCAGCTTCTCCAGGGTTAATAAGCCCAGTAACCTTGGCAACTTTTTTGGCGAGACTGGAAGGATCTGCACCCTCCAATTTATCAAAAATCATACCATCCTGACAGAAACAATCAAATGGCCAACCTTATTTATCTTTCAAGAGTGTTTAAATAGAAAAATCGAATATTAACCAAACCTAGACTTCAAGCAAATTATCAAAGGGCGATATTAAAGGAAGAACATCCACACAATTGGATAGTCCAGCCTTATCAATATGAATATTTATTGCCTTTATTTAAGTTGGAAAAATGTGTTCCTGGGCAAGTTTAGTTAAATTCACTTCTCTACATTTTGAGGGAAATGATTGAATGAATCTAAAAAGAGAAAATCTTCATGTGTGTGTTCAGTGAAATACTCTTAGCCTAGGATTGTCAAATGCAATAACAAGCAGCTAATGATTATATTCTGCAAGAAAACAAGTAATCAAGTAATTGGATTGACTTAGCAACTAGCATTCAAACATATACATTCATGGATTAAATCAACTTCAGTGTGAATATATATATTCAATGGTCACTAGCTCTAAATATATGGAAAAACATAGTAAATACTGAACGTACCTGTGTCGACACATATACATAACCAACACCCACAACATGATCAATGAATAACCGTTAATTGACTTAATCAATGATCAAACAACAAGCTTATCAACAGATGAAGGTTAAAATGCTCGCTCGACCTCAAATCTTTAAGCTGTTCCCGCTGGTATATTTAGCCGCATGCCTAATGCTTTACTTCGATCGAAATTCAAGTCAGGGTTTACCTCGATAAGTGATAATGGTTTCCTACCTGAAAAAATGTTAAAGGGTTAGCACAGAGATCTTTCAATTCTTCCTTGGAAAAAATTAACCGAAGTTTATTGGTTAGTTATATTGTAGGTCAATTCTCTGTACCTATGTTACTAAGACCGTGTCCAACACATGTCAGACACATTTTCGGATATGGATATGAAGACAAAATAAACGAAAAACTCTTGGAAAAAATATGAACATGCACATACTCGTATCCAACACTCACACACGTGTCCAAGTTACATAGCTACGTACACATAGATATAGTGGTACCGAAAGCTATGCTGTTGGCACCCAACATTCGTCTTGAAATGCTCATTTTCAACATATGGATACGGAGATATGACCTCCAGGGATTCTCTAGAAAAACTTAGAAAAATCTAATCATATCAAGACCTAACACACGCTTACATCCTATTAATATATAAAAACCTAACCATTATCCCTATCTAACACTTGCACTCAAATCCTAATAATATAGACTGAACTGAAACTGGTGTGGAATTGATCAAACTCTAAACAAGAAAAAAATATGAATAAAAGAAGAGAGTTTGCAACACCTGAACCGGCCTATCTCCACTGTTAGTGACTCTGAGGCTTACTGCTCTCCTCCCGGAATTAAGTGTAATCGTCCCACCTTTTGGGATCACTTCATCGGGAACAGTTTTATCATCCATTTCGGGTTCCTCATTAGAAGGCACTGCATTATCAATATTTTTTTAGTTCCCACTGGGATACTTCATATTCACAAGCTGGACCAGTTCCAAGTTCTAACTAATCTGCATAATATACTAAATCTGCATTGTTGATTTTGACAGAAAAAAAGAGTTCACAATATGAGCCAAGAAAAATCTGGAACAATGGCTCTTCAGGCATGTATTGCTCCAATTCTTTATGTTTCTTAATGTGTCCATAACAACACTCATGTCCAACACATGAATGAGGATATGACCTCCAAATATATGAAAATTTTCAGGAAAAGTCTAACCATATCCGTGTCGAATATATACCCTTATCCTGCACTGACATGACATGATTAGTTTTTTTAAAGTCTTTACAAGTATTTGAATGATCCTTAGAGGTCAGATCTCCACAACAATGTTTGGGACCTGATTACTTCCACAAAAATGAAGATTAAAAAAACATAACACTTAGGATATAAAACATGAGAATTGCAAAAGGAAAAATCAATTCCATTTATGATTATTTAAAGCATAGTTACCTGAACAGAATCCAATAAATATGGCACCGATGAAAAAACCTGCCTCCTGTTTATACATCAATTGAAATTACTATTCGTTTCTACAAAATAATATATATATATATATCATGTGTTCAAAGCAAAACATTGTCGATGCTTATGTTACTCAGATATCGAAGCGAGTGTTGGATTCGGGTATGTGTCCCACACATGTATATTTAAGTCTTTCTAGTTTTTTCCATGTATTTGAAATGTCATTTTAGGATTGCATCTCCATATCCATGTCTCAGAATGTATCAGATAGTAGTATTGGACACCAATAGTTCAAGAGAAATGAAGAATCCAAGCAAACTGGTTGCATACCTTCCCAAAAGTTGTTTGCCAACGTCCATCAATTCAGCCACACTCTTGTCACCATCACGAACAAACTCGAGAATCTATGGTGGAAAAAACATATCAAAAGGGATGTGAACTTCGGATTTTCCTTAAACTTCTTTAAGAAAAAATCAAAAAGGGAAAACTGGTACACAGCAAATTACAGGCATGTGATTGACTTAGCTCTGAAAACCAATAACTCTATTTATGAACAATTTCGAACAAAATCCTAAATTATCTACTCCGCTTTACGAAGATGTATGGCTTTGGCTCTTCATTTTTTCTTGAAGTATATGTATTTGGGAAATATATCAGACACTTATCTGGATGTGTATAGAATATGATCCTCCAAAGATCCTAAAATACAAGAAAATATTAGAACAAATTGAACGTACACATGTTGCAAAAAAATCATAACTTGACACTCACATCTGTGTTTAAATAACATAGCTACTAAGAAACAATGAAATTGGATATCCTGAAGCATGAGAATACCAATTGCATAAAAACACACATAATTAAAAAAAATACACAAATAGACCCGTTCATGGAAAAACTCAACAGAATCGGGCAATAAATCATCAGGTTGGAAAAACTCGCATAATCAGCATACAATATCCACAAATTTCAATCATTCCTAGTATATCTAGACTCTTCAGTTTTCCTGAAGAACTTGTGTCCGACATCTATGTCAAACACATACCCGAACATGAGTATGAGGGCATGATATTTCATATATAAGAAAACACTTGGTTTGAACATACCCTTATCAAACATATACTAATACCTGTATCCAACACCCATCCCAAGTTCGGATAACAAATTAGGAATCAAATATATACCAGTATCCAACACTTATCCCAAGTCTGGATAACAAATTGACATTGCCATATATATACATTATACACAAAATCGCAGAGTGTAGGAATCACCTGAGTGGCAATGAGAGCAACGGCTTCAGTATAACTTGTGCCTAAGCCCATTAGTCAGGGCGCTTTTGGGCAAGGAACCCTGCATTATGAAGCTTAAAAAGGGAATAGAAGAGGAACCCTATGGTAGTGAGCGTTGGGAAAATCAATGGAGAGATGGGAAAAGACTTTGTCCATTTGCTTTGAAGCCTCACACCAAGAAGCCCAGAAGTGAAGGATAAGCGGTGCACCACTCTGGGTTCTTTCATAACCAAGAAATATGTCGAAAATAAAAACTGAAATATGAACGCCAGAAGCAAATATCTAAACTAAATCGAAGAAGAAGAAAATTTCAGCAGAACGAAGGGGAGGGGAGAAGGCTATTTTAGACAACGGGGACGGGAATGAGTAAATACCTAAGGGAGAGGAGGGATAAACATTCCCGGGAATGAAGTAAAAAAAATTCCTGTTTGTATTAATTTTTTCCTGGCACTTGGTAATATAGTCTATCCAAACATGGGTATATTCATCCGGGAAAACAACATTCCTCCCAGGAAATAAATATACCGTGAACCAAACGGGACCTTAAGTTTTCAGCTTTGCTTTTGCTTTTATTCTTTCCTTGTATACATTTTTGCTTTTAAGGATAAATTATAAATTCTACAATAAAAGTAAACTTGTTTGACGAATTTTATAATTTACTCTTACTTTAATTAATCAAGGTAAATGTTGAGATTCCAATCCACATCAAGCTGGATAATATAAATACCATTAATCATTCGATTAATTAATGTTATCAGTTATCGCAATACTTTATACTTTTATAATTCATTAATTAATTAACATGGGTTGATTCAAGTGATAAACAGTTTGATATTGTTTAAGCATTGTCTCAAGTTCAAGTCTTTGCAATATGCAGAAAATTTTTGTTATGAGACCCACCCTCCAAAACCATGTGTACGACTAGAATATGTTTTCAAAGTTGCAGCTCAAATCAAATTAAAGTATTAAATAAAATTCAAGAAGGATGAATCCCAATATATATATAAACACTACAAGTTAAATACGCTTTATTATTTGCTTTTGCAGATCGACAAAATTTTAGCCAAGTCGTGAAAGCTTAAAGGCACTTGTTTTGAGCCTTGTATTAAAATGCTAAAAAGGTTATCTTTGTCTGCCCAAGTGGAATTAAAGATGTTTTTTTTCCTTAACATTAAAGCAGCAAATGGTTAAAAGATCTCTTTAACAGTTAACAGCGTATCTGAAACCTGAAGCCCCAAGTTCAGAGATTAAAGAGAAAAGAAACTTTCTTGGGAAGATGATAAATCCTTTGTTATAATAATAAAAAGAAGTATTGTCGGCTAGTAATGTGTTTTTGACTAAAATTGATTTTTCATTGCAAAATAACAAATTCATGGATGAAAAAGCATGTGAAATTTAATGGTATCCGAGTCCCTTACCAACGCCAATGCAAATGAATCCATGTAAGTGGATTGGGGTGGTTCCCAGGGGCTATGATCCCAGTACCTTGCAGAAGAAGTTATACCGTAAAGTTATAAGCTACTCTCATTTCTTGTCTGCAAATTAAGCCGGTGGAGTTCAGTTCCGGTCTAGTTGAACACATGTAATGGTTTACGAGGGAAAACGGTGACGAACACCTCATTTTATGTAGATTAATTGATTATTTAAAAGGTGACGAACACATTGGGTTCTGAGTTTTGTATTTCCCTTGTGGGATTATTTTTCAGTTACCTTTTGACTCTAGAGGCAAAAGTTTGCATGTTTAGATAAAAGGAGAAGAAAAGAAAAAAAAAAACATGATTTTTATCTCTGACTGAAAATGTAGATTCCTTCAATAAAGAATAACCCTTGCTAATGGCCGAAATAATCATTGCTTCAGCCTTCTCAACATAATTGTGAAAAAGCAATGTTATAGCGAAAATATTTCAGAAAGGAAAAAAAATGATTAGATGATCATGTGAATCAAAGAAGTGCTACCACATAAATTTGAAGATCCCAAGTCACAGATGGAGTCATTTCAGGCTCAGGGGCTATACTGCAATCTGCAGAATTCATAATTACAAGGCTTGCTTCAAATTTGTTTTGATTCTTGTCCTATATGGATTAATTCATGACAACTGAGCCTAGTAGTAGTTCTTGTTGTACCTCGGTTGAAAGGTTCTCCGCACATCAATTCCGTATTAGAAGGTTTTTGGAAGACTTCAACCACTAAATCTTTTTCGCTTCGAACATTTTTAAAGATATAAAAAGAACGTCTTCAAAAAAACTGATTTCAAATGTTTAACATCTTTTGAGAGATCGTTTCTTCTTTGACATAATCTCTTTCTAACTTACGTGATTTATTGAAATCAAATTTATTATCACTTGATAATATTCACCTAGTTTACATCTACTGTTATTTATGATTATCCTATGTCTAACACTAGTTTCAAAAGCCATTATGATCTATATATATGAAACTATCTCATCTTCGTTTACTTCTCTGTTACTTCTTCGTGAAGACAAAAAATATTAACACTCGTCAATGACTTTCCTCACCACACCATATGCGACTCTTTACCCAAATCAAAAAGAACGAATTGCCAATAATTATCGTAACTTATTTGGTCTCATCAATAATTTTCAACATGTCAAATGCCACGAGTGACATACTCTTACAGCATTTATAGCATACATATACTATGTTCAAATTGGAAGCATGTGTAAATTATTTTATGTTTCATTTTTCTGGTAATACAGAACAGGAGAACGGAAAGACTCAAAATGTTTTAAGAACATGGAAGAAAGGCAACAATTTCAGAATGCTTTTGTTTCATCTAAACCAACCAGCAAAATACAATGGCATGTGTGGTTACATAGCAAGTGCAGCAGAATTAACAACGTTAAACCAAAGAAAACAACATATGGATCTCGAATTCAGTACAACCTCAGTAAGGTCCTGGCAATAGAATGTGCATGGCTTGCCCTGGTTTTGCCCGACCCGCCTCTCCGGCTGCCGTTCGGTGCCATGTAAAACCTTAACAGTCCATTGTCAATGTTATTTGCTGAATATCTTGAACTCCTGTTCCTTTCCCATACAAACTCATTTGTTTTCTTCCTGCTCTGCCCAGTTGGCTCGACATCACAGCTCTTCCTAGCACTGCTAAACAATCCTGCACCGAAACTGCTCGAATTCCTCCAGCTTACGCTGCTGTTGCTCCTCAATACCTTCGGATTAAACCCACCTCTCACATCTCCATTCCTATCCCCTCTAAACTCAGGCCAAGATTCCGAATACGACCTCTCCACGCCATTACCTCTACTATACCTATCTTCATCCTCATCTTTGTTAACACTCTTCCTGTGAATAAACCCCCAAATGCTCCAAGCTTTACTCCATCTCCGAGACTTCTTCGACGACTCTTTTTGTTCCCCGTTACCAATCACAGATGCATTGTCTCTTAAACCAATCTCAAAAGTGTCTGAATAATTATCTCTCAAAGAGTTTGAGTTTGAATCCCTATCCGGCATGACAAGTTTAGGTCCATGGAAGTAATCAACAGTTGCAGATGAAACATTTGTGTTCGAAACCGGCTTCATTTCATCCATCTCTGCTACTACAGCAGCTGCAGTCTTCCTACAAGAACTGGACCTATCAAGACTTTTTCTTCTCCGAGAATCGGAATAATAATCCCTAATCTGAGCCGACCCTCCGGGAAGCGATTCGTCCTCATTGATGGAATTCATAGCAGTTGGATCATCCTCCACGGGGATCTGAGTATCGGACCTGATAACATGGGGAACAGGAGCATTTTCCACAAGGGAAACCATTGTGGGCATCCTTGGAAACATTCTCCCAAGCATATATCCATCCCAGGAAGCTCTGGGTTCATCGAAAGAATACCTCGGATCATCAAATGACATCCTTGCTGCATCAAATGACATCCTTGCTGCATCAAGGGAAAACCTTGGATCTGTATCACAAGACCTTCTGCCGAACCCGTAATCGGCGATTTCCGACTGGGTTTCTCTGTATTGTCTCCCTAAGGGCTTCTCCACTGGCAATCTCACCGACCCACATCTACTCTTTTTAAGCTTCTGTTTCTGCCTCCATTTTTGTAATTTCTTGCTGAAAACTGAAGCGGCTGACCAGAAACTCCCGGCAATCTCTTTGAAATCTCGGCCAGAAGCCTTCTTCGTTTGCGAATCAAGATCTATATGGTCCTTCATGGGCTTTAGCTCCTCTTCTTGACATGGTTCCTCTTCGTATTCTTCCACAATTTCTTCAACTTTCTCTTCTATTAAATTCGCAGTAGGAGCGGTCACATTTGGTGGTTGTTCTTCTATGATCTCAATGTCCTCTTCTTCGCGATCGGTTTCACTCTTACTCTGGTCTTCTTCTTTGCTTTCAAAAACAGGGTCTTGAACAACACTCGAAGAAGAAGCCGAATTTCGAGGTTCCGCTTCAGCAAACCCAGAAAGCCTTCCGTTTGCGGTTGCTTCTTGATGAAAGAGTGACCAAAGCGTATTTCGAGCCCTAACGTCGCAAGATTTCCTCTGAGGCTCAAAAACCCCGGAGAAGCCCTCGTTTTTCGAGGCCGAGAACGATTTCGTTCGCCGGAGCTCGGGGAAAAACCCAGGTCTCGTACCACCTCCTCCAGAAGGCTTGAATATGGCTTTAAGTGCAGCGGTGGCGGTGGAAGTAGTGGCGGCGATGGGAGGTTTACGAGAAGAAGAAGCGGCAGCAGAAGATGAAGGCTCGAGAACAGCGAGGCGTTCGCAGAGGCATGAGGGACAAAAGCCAGTGAACTGCTCTCGAGGGTGGCGGTCACAGGAGGTGGAAGGACGGTGGGGCTGAGGCGGTGGTAGCCCAGGAAGTGGTGGCTCCACGTTGGGATTCATAACCGGTAGTAGTATGAGAAGAGCAGTCTGCTCATATTAGTAAGCTTCAGCGAAAGAAAAATAATAAAATTAAAATGTGAGGATAATTAGTTTCGATAAGCCTTCTCAAAAACTGTTTTGTTCCAACAGACAGTGAGAAGAAAGAAAGAGAAAAACAGAATGATGAAGCAACGGAAAATATAA